CAGAGGCAACATTCCTGGGTGACCCTACACTGAGCACTGGGGTTGGGAATAACCCGGGAGGGGCCTGGGGTGCAGGCGCCTGGAGAAATCTGGAAGAATTGATGAGACGGGCAGCTTCCTTCCTGGCCTCCTGGCCACCTTGCTCACACCTTGCAACCCCACCTCCTCTGACCCATTGCTCCCTGCGTGAGTCTCTGGTGGTGCCACGGGCTCTGGGACAGAAGCCGGGCTCCAGTGGGGCATTCGGGGCCCTGGGCCAGCTCCTTCCTCCCTCCCCTCCCGTCTGGCCAGCTGCTGCTGCACACCCCTCGCTGACTTCTCCAGGGGCCCCACCTGCAGGCCTGGCGGCTCCCACCTCATCGCCTCTCCCAGCCACCAGCGCTGTGCCTGCAGTCCTGTTTTCTGAGCCCCCTGTACTCCTCCCCCGTTTCTCCGCACAGCCCTGTTCACAGAGACGCCCCATGACATGACGGCGCGGACAGGTGAGGACGTGGAGATGGCCTGCTCCTTCCGTGGTAGCGGCTCCCCCTCCTACTCGCTGGAGATCCAGTGGTGGTACGTGCGGAGCCACAGGGACTGGACCGACAAGCAGGCGTGGGCCTCGAATCAGGTACTGCCGCCCAGAACCCGGCCTGGGTGGGTGTCTCTGACCCTCACCTCTTCTGAGGGAACCTATCCTCCTCAGACTACTACAAAAAATTTAAGAGGAAGGAACACTTCCAAGCTCATTCTAAGAACCCAGCGTCACCCTAATACCAAAACCAGGTAAAGACAACACAATGAAAGAGAATTACAGGCCAATATCCCTCATGAACATAGATGCCAAAATCCTCAACAAAATCTTAGCAAATCGGATCCAGCAGTACATCAGAAAGATCATACACCATGACCAAGTAGGATTTATCCCAGGGATGCAAGGACCCTCCCCCTTCCCCCCGTTCTGAATTGGAGGCTTGGTTTCCGGCAGGAGGCAGAGCTGGGCTGAGCACTTGGGATGGGCACCACCAGAGAACCCTCCATTGAGCACAGAGTGCAGCCACGGGCAGCTACACTTCCGTGTACATGTGGGGAAACCGAGGCAGAGGGACAGAAGCTGGTTCCAGGTGATCTCCTGACTCACCTCCCCGCACTGCTCCGAGCTGAAGGACAGCGGTGTTGGAAAGGCCCCTGCGAACATGGCAGCACCGTGCACGTCCCCTTCCACACACGTGCAGCACACCCCTGCGGCCGGCCTCCGTGCATGCATTGGCCTCCACGCACCGACACGTTCATATGTGCCCGCCACGGGACCAGATGCTGTTGATGTCCCCGCCCACACACCCGGGGAATACACCATCCCCCGCCACCAGCCCTACTGCCAACTGCCAGCCCCGTGACTCTAGCTGAGGGTTTTCTGTGGACAACAGGGCCTGCTGGTCCGTGAGGCCGGCTGGAGGAGCCCTCCGCCACGAGCCACAGGGGTTGGAGGAGAGTCCCCCAGTGCCCTCGCCCCTCAGCTGGGAGAAATGAAGAGGTCTGTGCTCTCCTGAGGTGCCCAGTGGGAGAAAGTTCCAGCTGCCCACGGTGGGTGCTGGCTTGGCGATGCACCCATTACTGACTTCCTCCCTTTCTTGTCCCCTGCACTCACTCCCCTACTGCTGTTTCCTGGGATCGCCTCCTAATAAGCTACTTGCACTCAAGTCTTTGTCTTGGGGCTGCATCTGGGGGAACCAAAGCTGAAACTCTTTTATTCTCACACTTGTGTACTAGTATATGCAAATCATATGCAAACACACCCTCTCTGCCCACCCACTCCCATCTGAACACATACATTCACACACCTCCCTGTGCATACATGGGGGTGGTCACACATTCTCCCAGGTTCAGGAGAGAGCTTCTCACATAGTCACAAACGCCTGTTAAACTCTGTCCTGCTCCTGGGAGTGGCGACTCCCCCCACACAGGCTCAGAGGACTCTGGTGCTCAGAGAGGGCCCTGAGGCCGGTGCTGGTCTTTGCCGCTGGGTCCCTCTGGGCCAGCTTGCAGGGCCCCTCCAGGCCAGCTTGCAGGGTCCCTCCTGGCCAGCTTGCAGGGTCCCTCCGGGCCAGCTTGCAGGGTCCCTCCAGGCCAGCTTGCAGGAAACAGCTTGCGGGCAGGGCTCTGACAGTTTCTGCTGCAGACACTCGCTCATGTGTGTGACACACCTGAAAATACAACCCCTTCACAGATACAGGCACGGGTGTACAGACAGGCACACCACGCAGACTCACGTACTCACCCAGTTTATCCCCAGATACAGTCGGTTTTACCCGTACTCACTTCCTCTTCCTGAGTGGACACAGAGCTGAGGGACCCCCAGCTCTGGATCCCAGGGTCCCCAGAGTTCACCTGCTGCTAGAATCTTAGCTGTTGTCTGAACCCCCACCCAGTGGTGCTAATGGCTTCTCTCTGCTTTCTCCGCCCCTCCTGCTCCCAACAGCTAAAAGCATCTCTGCAGGAAGACGCGGGGAAGGACGCCACCAAAATAAGTGTGAGTTCTGTAATGACTTCTCGCAAGGGCTCTAATGGAGGACACAGCTGTAATTTAAAAAAAAATTTTGGTCCAGTACCGCAGGGAGCTTGGGCAAGAGGATGGAGGAGAAGAAAAACAAGGGGGAGGGGAAATGGCTCTGATCTGTTTTTTAAAAGCTGGAGATTTTTCAAGTTCATTGAATGACAGGCACAAAAAAATGACAGGGGAGAGAAGACGCATTCTCCCTGTCGGGAACCAAGGCTGTGTGCGTCCCTGATGCTTCATGTCTGTCTCAGCAGCATTTTTTATTTGGGGGACCAACGGGGCCTAATGAGACTGAGCTGGCTTTTTTCGGCCCATCACAGCTGACAGCCGCAGCCTCTCACGGTCACTTGGGTGCTCTGGCTCCTGGGGTGAGGCAGGTGGGGGAGCTGTGCCGCAGGATTTGAGGACTGGCGAGGCCTTTTATGCATTGATTCGTTTTATCATTGCTCCACCCTCCACAGGGAAGGGCAAGCACTCACCCATTTTACAGGTGGGGCAACTGAGGCCTAGAGACTTGCTAGAGGGCATGGTGTGACTGAGCCGACTCCAGTTCTTTGTCTGTAGGCTATGCTGGAGAGAGTGACAGTTTTTGTGGTGGAGGGGCACCCAAAGAGGGGCCTGGGAAAGGCAGGCAGAATTGAGAAAGGAGGCGAAAGGGATTGAGCAGAAGGGACAGCCTGAGGATGCATGTGGCCATGAGACCAGCTGGGATTGCGCGTGGGGCAGGAGGTCATCCTGGCAGGAAGCCAGAGCCCACACTCAGAAAATGCAGGTGCTCAGGGGTATGGGTGTGTACGCGTGGGGAGTGGCCTCCACGTTCGTTCTTCTGCTGCTTCTTCCACAACTTTTCAAGGACTTGGGGAGCTCAGGACCCCAAAGGTGACTAGACACAGACACACCAAGGAGCCACAGCAGAAGTCGCAGTGTCGAGCAGGCACTGGGAGGGATGGGGTGGCAGAGTGGAGGCAGGGGGCCTAGGAGGAGGCTCCCACAGCTCCTCAGACAAAAGGTGGGCAGACGAGAGGGGAGGAGAGGACCATAAAAGCATCATTTGTGCTGTTTGCTGCACGGCCTTTCAGAGTTGGGGTCTAGAAATTTGAGCCATTTCCAGTTTAGGGTGGATGCTGGTCCACCCCTCTACACCCCGGCCCCTCACCCTCACCCTCTCTGCCAGGGGCACACCCATGTGTCATGTCCCGTTTCTTGCTCAAACACCCCCTGGTAAGTCCAGGCAGGTGGAGATCTCTATATATTTGTATACCCTGCTATCGCAATTCTCTCTCCTATGATTTTGTTTGGGGTTTAAGGAGCATCTCAGGCAAAGGAGAGAATAATCTAATTGATTTTAGAGGATTAGAATTAGAGGCTGCTGGCCCCACGTGAGGAGAATTCGAAGATGCTAATTCGATAATAAAATAAACGCGCTCAGACTGATTGTGCAACCACTCTCCCCCACCCTGGCCCCTGATTTCCTGCACCAGCTGGGGCTCTCGGGGCCTGGTTGGGGTCTCACAGACAGCGTCACACACGTGACTGCTCTTAAATACACGGACGTTTAGTTGGCGGCACCATCAGCAGATGCCCACCCTGGTTTCCTGCAGTCTAGAAGAAGCTCAGACTTTTCCTGTCGCCTTCAAGGCTTTGGGCTCCCTGCTCACCCTCTGGGCTGTCTCATCTTGCTTGACCCGGCTCCCCTGCCCCTCCCAACCCTGCTGCCTTTCTGCCTTCTCACAGGCCAGTCCCTGTCTGTTCCTCTCTCTTCCTTTAGCGCTAAAGTCAGGAAAGCTTCCTTGACTCAGCGGGCATCTTACTTTCCCCTGCTGGCTGCATTTCCTTTTGTAATTATCCATCCTGTGACTCCCCTGGACACAGTAGGGCTGAACTGTGCCTGCTTGATTCACTGTTACAGTTCCAGAGCCCAGCACAGTGCCTGGCTGGTGTGGCTCAGTTGGTTGGGCATCATCCTGTGCACCGAAAGGTTGCTGGTTCGATTTCTCATCAGGGCACATGCCAAGGTTTTGGGGGTTGGTCCTGGCAGGGGGCCTGCAGGAGGCAGCTAATCGATGTTACTCTCTCACATTGATGTTTCTCTCTCTCTCTCTCCCTCTCCCTTCCTATCTCTCTAAAAATCAATAAACTATTCTTTAAAAAAATTATCAAATGACTATTACACATACATACGTAGCCTCAGTATGTGTACAGGTGATGTGAAGGACTCGTGCAGGGCTTCACTCCTTCATGTCCAGCAGAACCCAGGCACTGTTCTGGCCCAACAGTTCCGTGTCTTCTAAAAATCCCAATTGTAGTGGAATATCTCCTGATATTTATTTATTTATTTATTTATTTATTTATTTTTGTTTAACTAAATATTCACTGAGGATATTTTTCCATTGATTCATAGAGAGAGGGAAAGACAAAGAGAAACATCAATGTGCATTGACTGGTTGCCTCCTACACTCACCCAGACCAGGGTCAACGCCAGGGAGCTGCCGGCAACCAAGGTACGTGCCCTTGACCAGAATCGAACCCAAGACCCTTTGGTCCACAGGCCAACACACTAACCACAGAGTCTAACCGGCCAGGGCAATATCTCCTGATTTTTAACTATTGGGACCTAATTTGATTTTTGGAAACATCATGGGAGCCAAACAATGCAGCCTACCGGCTGGGTAGCATTGAGGTTCTGAAGGAGGGAGTACAGTTAGCTTCCAGGGGCTTGATGGGCTCAGGGACCTGTGGGAGGAGCGGGGGCATGCTAACCCTCGGAGGGTGCAGAGGGTCTGTGCTGAGCTGGGGGCGGGGGGATTGTGAGGACACACTGGGGCCGGCACTGAGGTCCGGGGAGCTGAGTCCTGGCTCCAGCTCTGCCGCCTCCCTGCGCCTTGCTTTCCCTCTCACTGATGTCCGACACGGGGGTGGGGGCGGGGGTGGGGGTGGAGCAGTGAAAGAGGCCCAGCTTTTCTGCAGGGAATTGGAGGGGAACCAAGGGATGGCTTATGTGGGTGGGAGGACAGGCACCTGGGATAAAATAGTAATAACAATAATAATAATGCAGTTACCATTCATTGAGTGCTTAACATGTCAGGAACCATGCTGAGTGCTTTACAGGAATTATCTCATTGAGCTAGGGGCCTGGGGAAGGGCCTCTGGCCTTAGAAACATCTCCCTGGGTGGTTGAGTCTCATGCCTGTGATTCAGGCAAATCCTGCTGCTTATCGGCCATTTTCAAGTTCTGGAAGTTGTTCTTTTGATCCAATTGAAGCTCTTTGTTTTACACTTTAGGATAATTCCCCCTTAACCAGTTTTGCAAGTGGAGATGGTTCCCAGCTTCCTAATTTTAAGATGAGGTGAAGTTCTCCACACACCTTCGTTCCCAGTGGCCAACCGCCTTCTTCACCGGTAGTTCCTCCTTCCGTCTCACCGACGTTGTTGGTGCTGTAGACTCAGTTCACGTCACCTGCTTCAGTCTGAAAGAGCCACGGGAAGCCCAGGTCCCGGGTACACGTGGCTTAGTGCTCTGGCCCACTCATCCCAATCTGCTACCCGCCCCACCCCCCAACCCTCAGCCAAACCCCCAAAGCCAGGAGCAGCCCAAGAGGTCTCAGGAAGCACTCTGCAGCCCCACCGAGAATCTCCGTAATTGGTTAGTTAAGAGGCAGCTGCGTTTGTCAGGTCAGCCAAGTGGCCTGCAGGTCAAGCCCCTCCTGCCCTGCCTGGCTGCCCCCCACGTGTGGTGCACCTGTGGGTGCCGCACGGAGGGGGGTGGGGGTGGGGGCCGGGAGCAGTCCACGAAGTCTGCATTATCAGGCCAAGCGGTGGGTCAGGGTGCCCTGCTTTCATTTTCTGCTGTAGACATTTCTATCTTTTCTTGAAATTCCTGCCGTAACTCACAGCACACATTAGGCATTAAGTCCTGCAGTCTGCAAGGAAGGCGAGGCGAGGCTCATGTGGAGGCAGAAATCACTCCATCTGTTACCAGGGAAGTTGAGGTGTCCCTTTCCCCCCTGAGTCTGGGGGTGGAGTCCTTATGATATCTCCAGAAAAGGAATTTTCTGAGACTCACCCGGGAGGATGAGTTATTTATTTGTGTGGTTACACCCCTGGGTTTCCCAAGTCCCATTTCCCTTAGTCCAGTCGTACAAGACGTGTAGTGGGGGCTTCGGTAGAGCTAGAAGCAAAGCCATTGCCCTGAGTTTCTGTTCCACGGTGCAGCCAGGTCCAGTCCAGCATCAGGCTGGTTACGGTCCATTCGTCCATTGTGTGTGGGGTCCACATGGCCATGGGCCACAGGGGAGAATGCCAGGAAGCATGTGTTTAGGGGATTAAATATCTCAAGTTTCACACCCTTGCAGTGGCCAGGCCCAATTCTGGCCAATGACCTGTCCCCAGGTGTGACTGGCAGACAAGTGTATTCCTGATGTCACCCCCGCTTTCCTGGGCATACATCTACCTTCCCTTTCCCTTCCGCTGGGGAGTGCAAAGTTGTAGCTTCCTGGCGAAGCTGCCCAAATGACATGCCTGTAATAGTCTGGGTTTCAGCTTCAATCCTTAGCCCCAATATAATAGTTGGCCTTCCCTTTGCTCCTTTCCTGTCATTAATAACTAGGCTAATTACAACATTAACACATCCATCCTGGGAATCCCTAGAAACATCCATAGAGCAGCTGGGCTCCAGTTGAGAGCCACGAAGATTTGCCTGTGAAGGCTGTGGTCACACACACCCAAGCCCTCAAGGTGCTCCCAGTCGGTGTGGGAGATGGATGTTAACCCAATAATCACATGATGAAAAATCAAATGACAATTGTGATCATCAACATGAAGAGAGCTGCTTGGGAGTCTGAGCCAGTAACAGGACCTGACCTGACTGGGGGGCCTGGAGGGCTTCCTGGAGGAGGTGCTATTTGAGATGAGCACTGAAGTATAGAGGGGTTGACTAGCAGAAAAGGGAACGTCTCTGGCTGTGTGTGTTGGAGGAACGACTGGAGGCTGATGTGGCTGCGGAGAGGCAGGGATGAGACCCCAAAGTGCTCCCCCTCCTGACAGTCACTTCAGGGAGCAGTAGAAGAAAGGCTTCTAAGTTGGGGGCATTTTGAAAAGATCTGTCTGGCTGTCATGGGAGGACAGGTTGGAAAAGGCCAGAGTGGCTCCACAGGGACCGGGAGGAGGCTGGGGTGATGACCCGGGTGAGACCAGCTGGGGCCTTGCTCTGGCCAGTGCGCGAGGGTCTGGATTCTGGAGGGAAGGAGAGGGGCCCAGTGATGTCCAGGGGAAAGATCAATGGGCTTTGGAGATGGACTGTGCCTGAGTGTGGAAGCAGCGTTGGGAATGATGACTTGGGGGGGTCAAGCTACAGTGGGTGAGGCTTTCTGGGGCCCAGAATTGGGGAGACCCTGAGTTGGGTTCTTGAACCTGCCGGCAGGCTGCTGGCGTGGCTGGGTGCTGCTGATGGAGGCACAGGGGTGGCAGAGCTCCGAGCAGGAGCTGGCCTGGGACAGGGACCATCTGACCCCTGTTCCCACCCCAGCACCTCCCCGGGCCTGCCGCATCTTAGGCCTCAGCCGTGAGGCCACACGTAGGAAAGGCCTGGCACCAGGCACCCACATTGACGGTGCTGAGGAGAAAATACCAGCCTGCCTGCCGGATGGCCCAGGGGCCCTGGTGCCTGCAAAGGCCTGGGCCACAGGCGAGCAGGGAAGAGGCTGCGCCTGGTCACGGCGTGGACTTGCCTTGTTTCTTTCAGCGTAATTAGGTGCTTAATTGCACCACGAGGGCCTGTCGATGCCTGTGCTGCAGTGATTATGATTTACAGCCAGGCGGCCGTGCGGGGGTCTCTTCTTCTGGCCGCTTCCGTCTCATTGGACGTCTGGGCCGCAGGATTTTCTGCCCAATTTGTGAATGATGAGATCCAACAGGCTGCTTCTGCCACCCCCAGGAAGCAGGGCAGGATGATGGGGCCCCTCCCACAGGCTGTCTCTGAGAAGGGCTGGGCCCCCCTAAAGCACGGAGGGTTGGGGGCCTGGGGAATGAGGTAGGGGGTGGAGAGACAGGCTGAGGTTCCCTGGTCCTGGGAGGCTCCCCAGTGCTGTGTTTAAGGCCTGGTTTCTCTCATCACCTTGAGCCAAGCACGGCACCTCTCTGAGCCTCAGTTTCCTGACTCATACAATGGGTGTTTGGGGTATTTCAGAAGTGCCCGCATCACGGAGTTATCTCGAGATTTAGATAAGATGTGTGAAGCTTTAGCACATCATCTCACAGTGACCACACACGCCATAAACACTAGCTCCCAGCACCAGGATCACTGTTATTGTTCTCAGTATTTGCCTTCTCCAGACGGCGCTTGGCACAGATCACTGGGAGGGGGCCGTGTCCTATTAGAACCAGCTCACTGTGGTGTTGGATTACAGGTGTGAGGTCTGGATCCTCCATGTGACCATGAGCCCATGCGGGCATTGCTCAGAGGGGGCGCTTGATAAATGTGTGTCGAATGAATGGATGATCTAGCTAGCCCAAGAAAACCGGGGCCAGGGTGCCTGGACTGTCTGGATCAGAGCCCAGCCTCCCGCACCCCTACAGTGTGCTCAGTCCCCCTCCTCCTCTGGGGGGGCGGGGGGAGCGGGGAGGGGACTGGGGAAGAGCTTCTGAAAGCCACATGTGTTTGCTGGCAGAGGGGTGACAGGGTGGGAGGGAGCTGGGGGAGGAGGGAGCTGGGGGAGGAGGGAGCCTGTCCAAGCCTTAGCGCCCTGAGGTGAGTGAGGGTGGGCTGAGGGGTGGGCCACGCTCCATGCTCCCTCCCTAGGAGCTGGCTGCTCCCAGCGCTTCGCATTATTACTCCATTAGCGCCTTGTAGGGTTGACAAATGAAGGATAATTAATATCCGTGAGGGAAACAGATGTTGCGGTAATTCATTTCCCGCTGCGCATTTGCAACAGCATCCCCTCACTCCCCGAGAGCATGGCAGGGCCAGAGGACCTCTCCCTGCCCTTGGCCAGAGGTGATGGAATCAGCAGGGCTGACAGCCTCCAGCTGGGCCCGGCCTGGCACTGGGAAGGGGCGCCTGCCCCCACACCCAGAGGGCTGCTGTCAGGTTTCCCGCGGCTTGCTGTTGGGAAGCTCTGTCCATGGCCCATGGCCCACCTCATGCCTCCTGCTGTGCCGCAGCCCATGTTTTCCCGCTTCCCGGGACGATGGCCAGCCACAGTGCTCGGAATCAGGGAGGATGGGCAGGCTCCCTGCCGCTGCCCCCCTGCCCTCTTTCCTCTGGAGCCTGGGAAGCACCCCCCTCACCACGGCCCTGGCCCTGCCAGCTCCCGGTGACCCTGTGTGGGCCTGTCACAGCATTTTGAGGGATAGAATGCATGGAGTCAGGCCTGGGTTCAGTTCCTAGAGCTGCCACTCACTGATTCAGTGCCCATGGGAGAGTCACTGCTCCTTCTGGAGCCTTAGTCTCACCATCTGTGAAGTGGGTATAATTGTGTGTATGTGACCTCAAGTTAGCAAGCCTGGGTACCACTTCATTTGGAGAAAGAAGGAACTACAGTGAGTCCATTCATCCAAGAATTTATTGTTATTATTATTATTACTATTATTTACAGGGTACCAGACCCAGTGGTGGTCACTAAAGTGAACAAAATATATATTCCTGTCTTCATGGAATTTATAGTTGAGCCAGAGAGAAAAACAAAAATCAAATCAACAGACAAATCAATTAAATGGTGCTCAAATTGTGATGACTGCTATGAAGGAAGCAGAGTTGTGAGGGAAGGCTTCTTGGAGGAGGTGATGATCGAGAATGAATGGGAGTCAAGTAGGTGAAGAGAGATGGGGCAGAGCACCCAGGTAGGGAAACCAGCCTATGCCAAGGCCCTGGGGTCAGAAAGAGCTTAGCATTTGGGAGGAGACGAGAAGGCACCAGGGAGGCCAGAGCAGACCAGTGAGTGCCCAGCATAGCCTCGGAAACAAGTCTGCAGAGTGAACGAGCCCCGTCAGAGACTGCCCTTCTCATCCTGGCTCCTCACCGTGTGAGTGATCAGCAGGGGCTTCCGCCTCCAGGAGTTGGGGCCTGGCAAGAAAGACCAGCTGAGGGGCCAGTAGAGCGCAGTGCCCGGGCCCCAGGTCTGGAGCCTACGCAGCCCCCACCTGAGCCTGGAGAGCCTGTACGTGAGAGGTGGTGAGATCACTGGGAAGGGGGTCACTAGCTGGCAGTTGGGAACTGATCTCCAATGTCCAGTCTAGGTGGGGTGGGGGCTGCAGGAGGTGGGGCAGGGAAGGATGAAAGCCCCACTCACCATTACCCTCCTCTCCACAGGCCCAACTCCCCCCTCCCTCCCTTTTTCTAACTTCCTAAATTTTGAATTATAGACTCACAGGAAGTTGCAAAAACAGTCTCTTGTATCCTTCACCTAGCTTTCCCAGTGATCGCATGATGGAATGCTACACAGCAATGAAAAAGAACAAACATAGACATGCAACAACATGGAGAATCTCGCTGATACTATGTTGTGTGAAAGAAGCTACACATGAAAGAGTGCAAGAACAGGCTGCACTGAACTGTAGTGATAGGCGTGGGAGTAGTAGTTAACCCCATGGGGGGAACGTTGGTGAGGAAGGGCCACAAGGGTGCGCTCTAGGGTTATAAATGGTCTTGCCTTGCTCTGGTTGGTGGTTGCACAAGGAAACACTTGTGTGCACTTATACAATTTTATCAAGTGTGCACTTTGCTGTGTATAAGTTAAATTTCAATTTTTAAATAAAATTTAAAATCCCAATCAAAGACATAAACAAAAAGCCAAGGTAGAAAGACAAATATCACAGACACTTGTTCTGTTCACCCCAACAGGGATGAACAATTATTGAAATGCTGATATATTTGTGATCAGCCTGTATTTTTAAAAAATATATTTTTATTGATCTCAGAGAGGAAAGAAAAGGGAGAGGGAGATAGAAAAATCAATGGTAAGAGAAAATCATCGAGCGGAGTGAGCCTGCAACCTGGGCCTATGCCCTGACCGAGAATTGAACCATGACCTCCTGGTTCATAGGTCGATGCTCAAACCCTGGGCCATGTTTGCCAGGCCGTGTTTGTTTGTTTACGAAATAGGCCATTTTGGACTAAGCTAAGAACTCACTTTGCATTCCACCCCAGTCCACAGCCCTCTCCTGGGCTGTATCCTCAAGGCAGCCTGTGAGATGAGGCCAGTGTTCCCTGCTATGTATTTTGAACTTGTACACACACAAGTCTCCAAAACCAGAATAGAGTGTTTTTATGTGCTTATGTACAGAAATGGTAGGAATTTTGCAATGAGATCTCACTGCCTGCGTGTCACCGAGCTGTGACATGCCTGGCTCTAGGGTATTCCTTTTAACTGTTGTGCCGTGTTCCATGGAATGAACTGACTTCCGCTGATGTGTCTGCTCTGTGGATAGACATTTAAGTTGCTTCTACCTTTTTGCTATTGAACTCCCGGTGCCCTGGTGGGGGTGTCTCTGGGGCCCCGCCCTAGCAGTGGGCAGACACTCTCGTCTTCCCAGCGGCCCCAAGGCCAGGTCACGGTCTCTCTGTCGCCCCCAGGTGGTCAAAGTGGTGGGCAGTAACATCTCCCACAAGCTGCGCCTGTCCCGGGTGAAGCCCACAGACGAAGGCACCTACGAGTGCCGGGTCATCGACTTCAGCGACGGCAAGGCCAGGCACCACAAGGTCAAGGCCTACCTGCGGGTGCAGCCCGGGGAGAACTCGGTCCTGCATCTGCCCGAAGCCCCGCCCGCCGCGCCCGCCCCGCCGCCCCCCAGGCCGGGCAAGGAGCTGCGGAAGCGGTCTGTGGACGAGGAGGCCTGCAGCCTCTAGAGACCGGCGCTACCCCGCCGCCTGCCCCCCGCGCCCCTAGGCTGTACAGAGTGCATGAGGAGCTGCTGGACTGTGGGGACGGGACTGCCGGGTCCAGCCGCCTCCCCGTCCCCGAGACCTGTGGCCACCACGTGGGCCCTCCGACCACCACCCCTTTGCTCAGCATGTAAGCCCCACTCAGCCCTTCCTTTTCAGATCCGTGCAGTGACCCGACCTGGCTCGGAGGAGGTAGCCTTGGGCACGGAGGGGACAACTACTCCAAACATGGGGGCGGGACGCCGTGCGGGGGCAGGCTGCCCCCTCTGGCCACCAGCTTCAGTGGAGTCCAGTGTTTTGCTTTGCTTGCTTGTCCCCCAATCCTGTCCCTAGCCAGGGCCTCCCAGCCTTACTCTCCCTCCTTTCCACTCTCCCCCACTTGAGCCTGGGGATGTGGACAGCAACCCCTCCCCAGATTTGGACTTGAATCTCTGAGTAGAGCGAGGGCCTCTCCCCTGGGGAAGAGACAGGGCAAGAGCCCCCGGGAGAGCCTTGCTCTGGGGCTGTGGCCTGTTGGGTCACTCATAGGGACCCTGGGAGGAAAGGGAGACGCCCCACTGCCTCCTGGTGGGTCATTCCTGTTCAGCCTCCTTAGTCCTAAGAAATAGCTCCCTGCCCCACCCTCTAGGGAGGTGGGCGACCAGGAATCTCTGCCCTTCCTGCAGAGGGCCTCCCCCTCTGACTCCATGGCCCCATGCAGAGTTTTGCACCAGCAGGACCCCTTTGAGGGTCTTTGAGGCTCTCCCAGGAGCCCCCTCTGCCAGCTCCCAATGTCCCAGCCCTCTCTCTCGGGGTCCATGCCAAGCCCACCCAAGGGCCTGGGGCTGTTGGGACCCCAGTACCAATCCCCTCACAATTCCTGATCAGGGGGACACCCGCCCCTGGTGATGTGTAAATATTTCTATTGGGCCCAACACCCCCTCAGAACTGGCTCAAACCTCTGGCCACCCCTCAGCAATGGCTTGGGGGATGTGGGAGAGGCCGAGGGCTTTGCCCCGGGTTGGGTGGGGGTGGGTAACCCTATATACATGATTCAATCCGTAACTACCAGCCAACCTGAATAAAGTGGTTTAAGAAAACCTCTGGGCAGTGTCTTTTCGGGGCATTTGTGTCTGGGAGCAGTACAGCGGGGGAGGGGGAGGGGACAGGGGAGGGCTTGGCCAGCCCACACCCACACCTCCCTCAGCATTTTCTCACTTCTGCTTTCTGCTCCCAAGCACGGAACAAGAGCCGGGAAGCGCACAGGGAGAGGGCGAAGGAAACCCAGCCTTTGTCCGGCACCAGGCACTTGAATTATTCTTAGATTTTGAAGTAATCACAGGTAAAGAGGAGCGCAGAAAACATGTGTACACTGTTTTGTGAATAAATAAGTCATAAAGCAAGTAAGGGCGAGCCACTGCCACCCAAGCAGCACCCAGAACAGAACCTCCGGGTCGAGCCCGCGTGCCTTTCTGATCCACAGCCCCTCCTCTCTCAGGTAACCAGCACCCTGACTTTTAAGGTCATCATATTCTTAATCAATTTTACAGTTTCACTGCCTATATGCATGTCATCTTAAGCACTATAGCTGAGTATTGCCTATCTTTTTGAACTTTATACACATGGAATCTTACCATCTCTATTCTTGATGCACCGCTATATTTGTGAGGTTCATCCATGTTGTCATGTGTCTGTGATCTGCCCATTTTTATTGCTGTTACACATTCCACTGCAGGAATATCCTACAGCCTATCAACTTATTTATCCATCCTGCTGCCGACAAGAATCTGTTTCCCTCTGAGTGCTACCACCGGCCACACTGCCGTGAGCTTTCTAGTCCGTGGCTCCTGAGGCACATGAGCCCGAGAATCTCGGGTGGGTTGGCCAGGTCGGAGGGCTGGGCATTGACTGCACTTCAGGAATCTCGTTTTCCTCCCGTGAGGTATCGCCATCCCCTGTTACAGCGGAGGGAACAGGCTCAGAGGAGCTAAATAGCTCACCAAGTTCACACATTGAACTCTGCCAGCTCGAACCCTTCCCCTAAACCAGTGGTTCTCAACCTTCCTAATGCCGCGACCCTTTAATACAGTTCCTCATGTTGTGGTGACCCCCAATTTCATTGTTACACATTGAACATAATTAAAGCATAGCGATTAATCACAAAAACAATGTGTAATTATATATGTGTTTTCCAATGGTCTTAGACGACCCCTGTGAAAGGGTCGTTCGGCCCCCCAAAGGGGTCGCGACCCACAGGTTGAGAACCGCTGCCCTAAACTCTCCCATCATACCCTGCGCTTTGGACTCTCCAGGGTTCATTCCAGTGGGAGGTCCCACCCACCGCGGTGGGGCTGAGAATCTGCCTGAAGGTGTGCCATCTGGGGCTTTCAGATCAAGCCCTGGTCGCCAGTGTGGCCAGCTGGTCCCTCCTCTGTGCAGAGACCACAGGCACCGCCCACAATGAGCCGGGGCACTGCCTGTCACCAAGCTGCCCTGGCAGCCAGGCTGAAGGAGCCTCCCCCCTCAAGGGCGGGGACTGGGAGCTGTTGAAATGGTGAGTGATGCTGGAGCAGCTCTGTGTGCCCAGGCCCTGTGCTGATCGCCACGGCCCTGAAGGGACGCTTATATCCTCAGTTTTCAGATGGGGAAACTGAGGTTCAGAGAAGGGTGGGTTGGAGGATGGGTGAATGGATGAATGGGTGGAGGAGGAAATGAATGCACCAGGCTAGGATGCAGGCGGGGCTCGGTGCCTGTTGCAGAACCCAGGGCTAGATGCTTTCTGACCTGTGGTCCTCTCAGGCCAGCAGCCAGCCTTTACTGAGGGCAGGGTCAGCCTTTACTCGACAAACATGGTCCCCAGTATCTCCAAGACGATGTTAAATTATAGAACTCCTAGAGGACATTCCTTGCCTTGCTTTTACCTTGAATGTAATGCCTCCTGTTTCCAGGCTGGCTTGTGAGTAGCTGCTTGGGGTCTCCTGTGAATGCTTTAGGATACTCAGCACTTATTGATGAGACACCCAAACACTTCAGTGTGAACGCCCGTCTCAAGTGGGCACCTTCCATGCCCACTCCACCCCTTTAAAAAAACAAAAAAAGATTTCTGGACCGATGCTTATTTTAGTCACCTTCGTGTATAGCTCTGGAAGCCAACGGGTATGGATGGCATTCAGAGCATGGATTTTGGGGTGTGATAGTCATGCATTGACATTTCAGCTGTGCCACTTATGAGGAGTGCGACGTTAGGCCCACCTCCCCTCCCTGAACCTTCAGGTTTCCTTGCAGAATTTAAGGGGCACGGTGAGCTCAGTTCACATTCACCAGCCTGGGGGAGGACAGGGCCCAGGAACCTGCACTGCCAACTAGTTTCTCTGCAAAGAAAGTGTGTGAGCTTCTGGGATAGCACGTGTGCACAGCAGGTTGTCTGAAAAGGCACCCACCAAGCTGAGCTGTGGTTACTTCTAAGAAGGGGGCTAGCAGGAGTACCCCAGTAGGCTGACAATTTGTCAAGGGCAAGTATTATATCTATCACTTGATATGCATATAAATATTTAAAGAAAACCAACCAGGAAACAAAAGAAAATAAAATGGGGGAAATGGAAGAAGGCTGAGGTTGGTGGCAATCCTGGTAGGGGCCCCATCTGGTGTCTGCATCCCATGGACAAGGTCTCTCCCTCGGGTGATGAGAAGCGTTCTCCCTCTGAAGGCAGCCCTCGCTGACATGCACGCAGCAGACCCCAAAGCCAGGCCCGCCCCACCCCTCCTCCACCTTACTCTCCCACCCTCCTCCCACACCCACTTCTGTTTCGGGCTGTGATTTAAGGCCACGTGTCTCAGAAAAGACTTGCCCACTCCCATCCTGGAGTGTGAATCTTAATGAATCTAAGCTAGGGGCTCTTAACACAAAGTCCACAGAAAACCCCAACCCAGGGTGGCGGATGAAATGCATGGGATTCGGAAACCTGCATGAAGAGGGGAGGGAGGGAAAGCTACTTTTCCACCAGCCTCCAACTGAAACTTAGCATTTCCTTGTATCATGAATGTAAGCAACAAGCCAGGGCAGCATGAGCAGTGACTTGTGATTTGTCACCAACAGAAAGCACAGATACCTTCACATCCAAAACAGTCATTCCAGGGGTCTCAGAACGCGGTTTACACTCATCACTACTTCAATTTACGGTTGTTATGAGATCTGCCACTGGATTTTGTTGTTTAATGTGCTAATAAAGAAGCGAGTTTATTCCTATATCACACTTTAAGAGATAGATTTTGAAAACCATATTTCAATACAATTGGTTTGTTTTGTAATCCCATCATTTTGTTTTATGCCCTTAAAGACACTATCCTGGGAAGGGTCCGTAGGTTTGGCCAGTCTGTGGAAGGCGTTTTTGGGACAGATATGGTGGATGAGCACTGGTCTAAGCCAATACCAGTAATTCCATGACCCGAGCCTGGGACCAGGTTAGGAAGTGTCATGTGACCTGGGGTGTCAAATTCATAATGAGATGCCAGGGGACATCTGCTGGAGGGAGAGGGGATTAAAAGGAGAGACAAGGAAGACATACTTTCTTTCTCTGCCTCTTACTGTATGAGCAGGAGACCTGGGAAGTTCTTCCACCACTGGGCAGCCGTAAGGAGAGAAGCTGATCCAACTGAGATGCGGAAAGGAGGGATAGGAAAAGCCTGGGTCCTTGAGGATGTAGCTGATCTGGTGTATTAGCCAGATATGGAACCTCTCTACCTCTGGACTCCACTTATCAATAGACCCCTTGTGATTTAGGCCCATTGGATCAGTTGTCATTTACTTGCAGCCAAGAGCACCTTCTCTAGTCCTCTCTGCTAGTCTTTTCCCCGAAGCTGTCCATGCTTGACCTAAGTGTCATTGGACTGACTGGAGAAACAAGCCAGCTCCTTCTTCCATCCGATCCTTATTTGGACTGGTCAGGTCTTCTTTCCTGGAGGCTGACATCTTCAAATCCTTCAACTAGACTCAAAAGGCATGGTTTGGAGACCTTTATCTCCCCCTAACATGTATGTCTATCTATGTCAGTGGCTCTCAACCTTTAGCATGCAGCAGAATCACGCTGATGGTTGTTAACATTAACTTGTTAAAACACATTTCTAGGTCTCACCCTCACACATTTAGATTCAGTAGGGCTGGAGTGGTCCCGATAATTTGCATTTCTAAGAAATCCCTCTAGGATGCTGATGCTGCTGGTCTTGGGGACCACAGTTTGAGAACCTCTGGTCTAGGTCCCTCTGAAAACCTAGCTCCCCCAAATGCAACCACTACTCAAGATGGAGTTTGATGAGTGCTAAGCAGAACAGAAATATCACCTCCCTCCCTCTGTGTCAACAGTTTTTTCCTGTTATTTCAGCCTAAATTACAAAGTGCTTTTTCATACTGTTGAACTCTATGTTGCCAAAACTCTGAAAACCTATATATCTCTGTCCTAAACTCTCTCCATAGTCTATAGAACGGGAAGCATCACTTGAGGAGTGCTTAATATATGTGCCAAGGGCTTTTTTTGAAAAATATATATATTTAAATTAATTTCTAGAGAGAGAGCAAGGGAGAGGGAGAGAGAGAAACATCGATCAGCTGTCTCCTCCATGTTCCCTACCAGGGATTGAGCCTGCAACCTAGACATGTGCCCTGACTGGGAATCGAACCGGCAATCTCTCGGTGCATGGGATGATGCCCAAGCAACTGAGCCACACTGGCCAGGGCTATGTGCCAAGAACTTTAATGAGCTATCTCCTTTAATTATCATAAGAAGCCTTGAAATGAGCAGTTATCTGTTTCTGGGGTGACTGATGCACAGAGAAAGAAAAAAACTTCCCAAGGTCACCCAGCTGATAAATAAATGAGGGACCCAGTATTTAAGCCTGGGTTATAGAACTCTGTAATTAAGAACTCTCTCCTCCTTAACAGCATCTATTAATCAGCTGCCCTTTGAGGCCCAAGACAAATTTACCTAATTGCACCTCATCCAGCTCATTTCTCTTTTTCGTCTACAAGGTCATCAAATGTGGTTTTTGTCAAATGTCCCAGGTTTCTTGAATCTCCCATTTCTCTTTCATTTGAAACTCAGCCCTT